CACTTTCAGTAATTAAATTAAAAGTTTAACTGAGATAATAAAATTATCTCATTTATCAATTTAAACAATTAATAACTGAGTGTGATATTTTAATTATTAATAAAATAAATATTTTATCAGTTATCTCTTTATCTTTTATTTTTAAATACTTTTGTTGCATTTACTGGTTTCTCAAAGGAGCCTTTTTATTATGAACTAAAAAGAAAAAAAATAATATATACATTATTTGGACTTCTTTTTCGCCATATTTATTACAACGTTTCGGCTGTTGTACGCTCCGGCCTTCTTCAGGTGGTTGGAATGTCGAACAGAACCCTTTATTTCATTCACTGGGGTAGACTGTTCTAGTTCCACGTGCCATGTTTAATTTATCATTTATTGTCAGTTATCTCCTGTTAATTCCCCCTCTGAAAGTTTTCCTCTGCCTTAACCGGGTATTGAACTCACATTCTTTGGGTCCTGTCACTGGATCTATCCAATGCCTTTATTCACTGTGCCATGTGACCTTAAGGACAGCTGTGAATGAATTTCTGGGTATTATAAACCTAATATAATATATATAATATATGTTAGAATTAGCTTTATATTTGATTGTCTTCCTACCGTCCCCTTAGTTTCTTATAAAATTAAACAAGTTACATTTGTTTCACATCTATGATACATGCTTGCTACTGGCTTATAGTTTGTATTAAATTCTTGTCTCCCACTCATAATTTTGTCTAGGATTATATATCAAACCACATTTTACCATGATCAAAACTCCCCCTTTTTAGCGTGAGTCTAACATCTAATTGGTTAATCAGGGTAAACCCACAAGCCTCATTTGAATTATGTTCTGTTATTATCTGCTCCTGAAATGTAAAAATAATTTTTTACTCAACAGTTAGTTACTATCGCCTGAAGAAGTACATTTTGAGTGCTGAAACATTAAAGCTATTGTGCAATGATTTTTATCATGTTTTTGTTTTAATATCATAATACATATATATATATATATATATATATATATATATATTTCAACATTATTTACCTTTTTCCGTTTTGGTGGGTCTAAGAGAGGACAAAAATTTGTAAATTCTACCACAACCTCTTTGAGTAGACGCCTCTGATGCCACTTATCTGACCAATGTGCTATAAACGAGCATTTAGCCATCCACAATTTACAACTCTTAAGGAAGATTCTGGTCGATGACAGCAGCATTTTATATAGATTACATTACCAAAAACACCACGCTCTGAAAGAGTCCGTTTAGCTTAAACATTTTGCATGAAGTATAAATCTCAAATTATTCAACTGCGGAAATGCTTTGTTAAAGGTTTTTTTTGTTTTTGTTTTTCTTTTGAAATATAATGATTCAAGCCCCGCTCAACTCACGAAGCCCGGAATAAACACTCCTACTAGAATCCAAACAGCAAAAAATACATCTTAAACAGTCAAACATGGAAATAAATTAACAACGTCTAAAAACAAACACGCTTGAAAATGGCTATAGAAGTGGGCGAAAGCACTTGGGACAATGGGCAATACGGAAAATTTTTGCACTCCTTTAATGTTGGAAAAACTACAAAAAATTAATCAAATTTGTCTGTCATATTCAACGAAACATGTTTAAAAGAATGACTGCTGCACAAATATATATATATATATATATATATATATATATTTATTAAAGACATTTTTTATTTATGTTTAACGTTGTTATTTTATGAATGATACAAATATTTAAAAAATTCTCGGACATTTATGATAAACAGTATTATTTAAACATTTTTATCATAAAATGAGAAATTTTCATTAAATTCTCGGACATTTGTATCTATAAAATAACAACGTTAAAACATAAATAAAAATGTGTTTAATAAATAAATTGTCGGACCTCGTCCATTTCTTAACATATATATATATATATATATATATATATATTATTTGTATGTTCCTTTTCTGATGTATGTAAGAATATTATTGAGGGGTGCTAGTCTCGGGAAAATTTCACTAAGGAGGGGGCATCGGTAGTAATAGTGGCGGGGGCTGGGTTATTTAGGGATTTGGCCCGGCTGCACGCACTAGAACTCCTCACATTAAATTAACTTTGTATTACATTCTGCCAGCGTGGGGCGCCAAGAAAATACAATTGCTTTTCAGCCCATTGGTTGGAATCAAAGTATAGGCTCAATTAGTATCAGTTTAATCTGATTCTCACCTTCTACATCAAATCTTCACTTCTTTCTTTAATTTTACCACTGTATTTTCTCCCATTTCTATGCGATCAAACGGAATAGTCCATTATTTATGAGATATTGGCAGGGCGTAATGGTCATGCAAACTAGCGAAGAAAGGAACAAGCACAATTATAATAGGATCTCTTATTTGGATTAATCAATATTATATTTATTTATTTTTTAATTATTTAAGTGTATCTTCTTTTAATCCGACCAATATTTGATCCAAACCTTTTTAATCCCTTTGACTATTCTGTTTATCGCCACAAATCCAATTTGAAGATGTGAATCCTTTAATCTGTCCTTTTAATCCAGTCAATATTTGATCCAAACGTTTTATTCATATTCCTTTATGTTTCTGTGATTCCATAGAAATTCTTGAACCTGGTAGGTGTATTATACTTTTACCTGTATTATATAATGAAACTTAAAATGGCTAATCCACCATGGTGCCTGAAACAGAAGACGGTTTAGAAGAATGGAATCTCTCTATATATTATACATTAAATAGTATAATTCTCATGAATTTTGATAAAAATCAACGACAACAAAGAACTAATGATATTTAATAAATAAGCGGTTAAAACAAGCGAGGCAAATTTCATTGATATTTCAACAATTTTGTACACCATAATCAGTTTTTACATTTTTTACAAATTTTACACAGACAGGAAAATACTAGCGAAATTCATTTTTCATTTTTTTTTCTAAATCCAACGTGATTTCTAAATATGAAGAATTCGTAATTTATAGACACAATTTTTTTTTTTAAATTGTAGCGTGGAAAGTGTTTCAAATCTCTCAGCATCATTGACTCACTCGCAGAGAATGCGAAATTCACAGCCTCTGGTCTTCGTCAAGCAGAATTTGATTGAAACGTTAGCAACAGGTAAATAAATGGCTCAATAAAGAGAATGCCATGCATTCAAAAGCAACTCAAGCTTGGTGTTTTCGGCGCAGAGCCGACATAAAATAATATTAAACCAAATCATGAAGCAACGACTTCTGAAGCTGTTTGCTCAATCGGAGTTATTCTGGAAATTGCACACTTACACCCACACACCCACACACACCCACGCACATATATGCAGTTCTAAAGAAGTGATGAATTTTATTGATTAATTCGACAAATTTTATTACTTAAACATTATTTTTATTGGTTACCCATATTTGAGTAGACGTTCCGCTTATTTATTAAAGAATTTAATTATTTTCATCTACCGGCGTAAATATTCGAGAAATCTTATTAAAGAAAAAAAATGCATTCACTCTCCGGCAGGATTCGAATTTGCGTCCCCCTTGGCAGATCGTTAGATCCGACTTGCTTTCGTTGCCGAGCCGGTCTAATCATCGTCGGATCTAAAGACTGTTTCACCTGCCAAGAGAGACACAGGTTCGAATGCTGTCGGAGAGTACACATTTTTCCTTTAAAAAGATTTCTCAAATATCCGCGCTGGTAGATGAAAATAAATAATTATACTGTTTTATAAATGAACGGAACGTCAACTCAAATATGGGTAACCACTAAAAATAGCGTTTAAGTAATAAAATGTATATCTGTATTTACAAGTCTGTTTAAAGTACACAGATAAGGAATTCTTTCGTCGACACTTTTCTTATTCCTCTACAGTAATTTGCCAAACTTTCTTCCTTTAGCCATTATTAAAATTCAATGATCGTTTGTCAAAAAACTGCGATTTTTTTCTTTAATGACAATTATTCCATAATTAAGAAGCAAGTTTAATTCGAATAGTTTCTTCCCAAGAACCGATACTTTATTGAACCGACCCCCGAGTTGTTGATTCTCTGATTTCTACAATCTTAACTTGTCTTCAAGTCTAGGATCAATCATAATCTTTCCTACATATCATCATAATCTTCGCTTCTGAGCGCCTCCTTTTACATCCTTAAAACAATATCATTCAGTAGCCCTCTACCTTGAGTGGCTCTTTGGTTTTGTACTGGGTGATCAAATAGTAAAAAAACTTTGGTAAAATCTTGCTAAAATAATCTGTGATCCTAGGAGAGTAAGAACAAAAAACCAGCGAGTAAACATTTCTTGTCCGTAGACTTCAACTAAACTTGTAGGATTCATTTTATGTTCTTAAAAGACGGGCGTGGGTCTTAAACTGTTTATTCGTTAACGGTCTTTAAATTTCACGCTGATATTTGCTCTCTGAGACAGACATAACATACGTCGGTATATAAGCATATACAAGTATGTTTAAATTAAACGGTTAAGGAAATGTATTTTCTGTCGTAACCTTTCTTATTTCTCTAGAGCAGGCCTGCACAAAATACGACCCGCTGGTTGCATGTGGCCCATGAGGCTACCTAGTGAGACTAGAGAGGGGGTTCTCAAAAGACTCAATTTTTTTTCTGTTCAGCAGAATAAATTTGATAACTGATCACGTACAAAAAGATTTTGTGGAAGTATGATTTTATTCAACCAATATTTAAGTTATTTATACTCGGGCTATTGTCATCATCTTTGTTGTTTTTATCTCAACGTTTCCGCCTTCTTCAGGTCTTTATCGATCTACATTGAATTAGGAGATTAACCCTTTATTGCATCTATGTGGTTTGACTGTTCTCGTTTTATTAATCATGTGTACAGATATCGACTAGTTCTTACGAGACAATAGGCTAATGTATAAAAACGTTAGGTTGTGCATTTCGTAACATCGTGGTTGTGGGTTCAATCCCTGGGTCAAACGGTGTGTACTTGCACTCTGTGGAAATGAGCGAGCAATAGCTGAACATTACTAATTAAAAATAAGAACTATCTCTCCTCTCTCTCTCTCTCTCTGTGTTTTTATTCTCCCCTCTTTCCTTGTCTATCTCTCTCTCTCGCTTTATATGTCTCTTTCTATCTCCTCTCTCTCTCTATCTCTCTCTCTCTCTGTTTCTTTCTCCATGTCTGTTTCTGTCCTCCACTCTCTATATGCCTCTTTCTATCTCTCCCTGTCTCTCCATGTCTGTTTCTATCCCCCACCTGTCTCTCTGCTTCTATTTCCCTCTTTATTTATATATCTACTTTTATCCCCGTCTGTTTTTAACTACCTTTCTCTCTATGACTGTTTCTCTCTCGCTTTCTCTATATCTCTCTCTCCCCCATGCATGCTTCTATCTCCCTCTGTCTCCATGTTTGTTTTGCTTTCCCTCTATTTCTATGACTGTTTTTGTCTCCCTCTCTCTATATATATCTGTTTCTATATCCCCTTTCTACCCCCCCTCTCTCTCTCTCTGTATATATATATATATATATATATATATATATATATATATATATATATATATATATATATATACATGAATTATTCATACAAAACTAATGCAAAGGTTAATGATTTAAATGGCGAGACATCCATCTCGCAAACGATTCAAATAGTACACAAAAACCTCTAAATCCGTTATGCATGAGTTGATCCTTGTTTATATAAATTTCTGCCGTATTAGTTGTTATTTTTACTACAAGCTTTCGTCTGTTCCTACAGACATCGTCAGGTATATAATAGATGTTGTTCTTGGTTTTTTCTCTTAGTAATAAGAGGACATCGAAAATATATGTGTATTGTATCCGAAATGCTATTAAAAATGAGTTATTGGTTTTGAACGCGCCAAAGCAACGCTGAGTTTGATTTTGAATTTTTTTTAAAATGTCTGCGTCTATACCAAATATGGTAATGAACAAATGTTTTACTGGTAAATTTTTTACTGTCAAAGTGGCATGAACTATATTGTTCAATAATTACAGTAATGTCGCACTTATTAACCAAAAGTCGCACATGGATCAGATATTTAAATTACAATAAACGTGCAATCAATTTACAAATACATGAATTATTCATACAAAACTAATGCAAAGGTTAATGATTTAAATGGCGAGACATCCATCTCGCAAACGATTCAAATAGTACACAAAAACCTCTAAATCCGTTATGCATGAGTTGATCCTTGTTTATATAAATTTCTGCCGTATTAGTTGTTATTTTTTTACAACTACAGACATCGTCAGTATATAATAGATGTTGTTCTTGGTTTTTCAAACTCAGCGTTCTGTTTCCATTTTACACAATACATTTCGGACATATATTTTCGATGTCAGGTATATAATAGATGTTGTTCTTGGTTTTTCAAACGACATTAACAATAAGTTTGCTTTGGCGCGTTAGACGCAGACATTTAAAAAAACCAATAACGTTCATTTTTAATAGCATTTCGGATACAATACACATATATTTTCGATGTCCTCTTATTACTAAGTTCAAAAACCAAGAACAACATCTATTATATACCTGAAGATGTCTGTAGGAACAGACGAAAGCTTGTAGTAAAATAACAACTAATACGGCAGAAATTTATATAAACAAGGATCAACTCATGCATAACGGATTTAGAGGTTTTTGTGTACTATTTGAATCGTTTGCGAGATGGATGTCTCGCCATTTAAATCATTAACCTTTGCATTAGTTTTGTATGAATAATTCATGTATTTGTAAATTGATTGCACGTTTATTGTAATATATATATATATATATATATATATATATATGCCTGTTTTTATCTCACTCCTACTCAGTAATTTACTCTAAATTTTTACTCTTGCGGTCCACGCCTAGTTTTCTGCGATAATTGTTACTTTTCCCATTTTCTTAATTATGCAAACCTGCCCTAGAGTAATTATCCAAATCCTTTTAGTCGAATACGTTTAAGCTTTGTTGTTACACATTATCAAAATTCAGTGATTGCTGGACAAAACTGTGCGACTTTTTTCCTTTAATGACGGTGTGTGTCCATTAAGTTGCTATTCACGCATGAAGATGTACATCTTTACACCGACAATTAAGGTCTTAAATTTTGATAATGACTGAAGGCAAAAGACGAAAGCGCTCAATCAAATAGCTTTGGAGAATTCTTAGTTACAATAATCAGTGAACTTAAGAAGAAAAAACAACAAAAACGAGTCAGTATTCCTTCTCTGTGAATTTTAACTAATAACTTGTATGAATAATCTTAGATTGCCTAATTTAAGAAGCGAGAGCGGCGGGGTGGGGGGAGGGTTGGTTAATAATTGGAGTGGGTAGGATTTTTTTTCTAAATATGCAATGAAGCGAACAAATGAGAACTTCAACCAAATATAATAATTCCTGTTGCCTGTTTGAGCTCGGGTAGTGAGGGGTTAAGTAGGAAATGAATAAACGGGGTGTGGTCATAATAAACTAGGGCTGGGGTAGAGATTTTCCTACGAAAAATAAACCTACTCAACTTATATGAAGCACCTAATCGTAAAAGACTGTTCCATACATACAGACACACTAATTTGTGTGTGTGCATATATATATATATATATATATATATATATATATATACATACACAAAAGAAATATATATATATATATATATATATATATATATATATATATATATATATACACACACAAGTTGTTTGAATTGTGATTAAAAATGGTCAGAATTAATAATGGATTTGATTGGATTGTAAAAGGACGAAGAACAGAATTAAAGTTTTGACACGAATTGATATATATATATATATATATATGTGTGTGGGTGTGAGTGTGTGTGAGTGTGTGTCTGTATATATATATATATATATATATATGTGTGTGTGTGTGTGTGTGTGTGTGTGTGTATGATAAAATAAGGAACGATAAATGGGAAAATTTTATAAATTTGACATGTTTCACTTTTATTCAAGTTTCATGAGAAAGTGAAATATGGAGAAGAAATAAAAAAGCGGAAAAAAACATTTCTTAAGTTGACATAACGTGTGTGTGTCGTGTCAATAGCGTTCGCGCGTATAATTTATATGTGTATATGTATCATAATACAAGTTTGTTTATTTGTCTGTATGATACACAGACAGACATAAGTGATACACACGAACGCGGCTTGACAGGACAGATTCACGTGATGTCAGCTTAAGCATGAAAAAACAAACAACACACAAAAAAATAGCGGAGTTTTCTTTACTCATCCATATTTAATTTTCTTAATGAAGCTTAAATAATAAGCGAAACATGTTAAATTCATATTTCCTTTTTATTCCTTATCCTATCATTTTGTCGGATTGTAATAGATATTTGATGCTAATTCATATATATATATATATATATATATATATATATTTATGAACTTTTACTTTTCTGAATTTTTCTCCGGTGCTACATATTCTTCCTTCAAGGCTGCCCAAAACTTGATATGAAGTGTGATACATATTCTGCCATCCTTCTCGCTGTTGGTTGATGCAAACAAGTTTAACTTTTTTAAAAACAATTAGGATTTTTTCCTTTATTTTCCTTTATCTCTGTTTTTTTTTATCCCTTCTTTTCTTTTTTTAATATTTAATTATCGTTTTTTTTTGCCTCTATTTCTTTTTCTTTCCGCTTTTCTTCTTTTTATTCATTTTATTTTTCTTTTTTCACTTTTTTTTTATTTTTCTTCCACTTTTCCTTTTCTTCTTTTTTTCATTCTTTCATTTTTTTCTTTAACGTTGTTCTTTCAATCATTTTTTTTCATTATTTTTTTTATTTCGTTTTTCCTTTTCTATAATTTTTCTTATCCCTTCTTTCCTTTCATTATTTCATTTCACTTTTTTCTTTTCCTTCTTTGTCTTTTTCTAATATACTTTTTCCCGATTTAAAATTTCTTTTTCTGTTTTTGTTTAAAGTTTCTTTTTCATTTTCTTCTTTCTTTATATTTTTTAATCATTTTTCCTTCTTTTCTTTCTGTTTTCCTTCTTTCTTTCCTCATGTCTTTGCTACAGTGTACTTTTCTGCAATTCTTTTTCTTTCGTTCATTTTTTGAACTGTATTTTGTTCATATTTCATTTTAATTTCTTTCTACCTCGACATTCTTCCTCTTTTTCTTTCTCCATTATTTGTGAACGAATGTTTTTCATTCAATATTTTCATTTGCTATTTTCTTTCTTATTTCCTCTTTTTTCTTCTCTTTCCACCCGTTTTTATTTTCCTTTTCTTTTTCTTTTTTTCCTTTCGATTTGGTTTCCATTGTCTAGAATTACAGCTCAAATGCACAAAATAAAGAACTTTCGTCAAAAAAAAAAAGAAAAGAAAATATTTCAAAATATGTTATGAAAAACGAAAAGAAAATCAAGGGACAAAAAAAGGAACAGAAGGCGGGGCGTGCCCAGGGTTTGAAACCCTAAAATAAAAATGCTGCTGTTTTGATGATAATTATTTTTTTGACTTATTGCTATTCTCTTTGGCATTCGGATCTTTGCAGGCGCACTTGCTTTTACAAGTTGGTTTGTCCAACCGGATCTTTCCGCCGTCCACTGTCGACGCACAACAATCACCTTTATCCCAGTCGCAGAAAAATCGGTTATTGGAACTGTCGCACCAACCATCTTTTAGTGACATCTGAAAAATTAGAGAAAATAAAATATATATATATTAATGCAATTAAGAAAAAATATTACTTAGTCTGTCCAGAAATAGTGAAGACATTTTGAATATCCTAAAAGCCAGTTGTGCGGCCTTGAAGAAACATGGCATTAAATTTACAGCGAGTTCAAAAGACTCACTATGTCGTGACTTTACTCAGTCGGTAGAGAAATGATATTAAATCGAGATTGCTTCTTGTATGACCGTCATATCAACAATGTCCTTTCCAGTAATAACTGTTGCGCTTATTTTAAAAGTCCTTTCATCCAGTTCTGTCGGTCTCTTCTACAACATCAAATTTGAAATCGCCGTAGAAAGAGAAGAGGTTTTAGACGATGAATGCGATTAAACGCAACGCGGTGACACAGCCGATAATCTTTTCGAATGGCAGGTCGAACTCTCTGCCTCTGAACAGAGAGGAACCCGGACGAGACTCTGCCCTTTGGCAGAGCCTCGTTCGGGGAGGTTGACCAACCCGATCTCGTTTATGCGGGTTCTACGGGCATTTTTTGGTCGAGCCTACGGGCTCGGAGAACCTACGTTAAACCCGGCCTTGTGCCACATGCAACCCTCGTGGTGTGGGGGGTGAATATTACAGCCAATAACGGTTCCAAATACTGACTTTATTTAAAAAGTAGAGACGCTAAAAAAAGTGTGTGAAGTCTCACGGGAAGTAATTTGAAGAGGTCGAAGATGCCATTAATGTCCTAGGTAAGCTGTATACGTTCCGGACAAACTTTGTAGAAACATATTTGAGGGGTAATTTTATGAGTTATTACGACCAATATGTTTATCATTGCTCATATTTCAAACGATATTTTCTTCGAATTTCCTCAAGGCCATTTATTCTATAGTATTCTACTATAGATAATTTTTCTGCAGGGATTGCCAAAATTTATTATAGCTTTAAAAATGGACATTTTAAAAGTATATATTCATATAATCTATATAAATTAAATTATCTATCTATCTATCTATCTGGGGAGGAAGTGTGAGTTTGTAAACAGTGACTGTTACGGCTAATAATACAAGACTCTTCGGTAGATCGAATCGAGTTCTCTCAGTCACTGTGTGTTTATCTAAAAATAAATACGCTTAAATTCACCTTCATCCCCTGCCTGCAACGGCTTAGTGGTAGAATCCCCGACTAACGCCGGGTTTCGATCCTAGCTAAAAGGCAACCGGACGTCTAATCACACTGATGAGCTGTGATACAGCGAAACAGTCTGTCTGCGGATGACAATATATATATATATATATATATATATATATATATATATATATATATATGAAGAAATATAGTCATACGATGTGCTATATTTATGGGATAAACTGCTCGATATCAGAGATAGAGCATGTGTAAATATAAAGTGAACATAGAAGTCAACACTTAGAGATGACAGGCTCTTTCATGTTAGATGCAATCGGCAGGCCTGACAATTGCATCTAGCATGAAAAACAGACTATCGCCTCTAAAATGTTGACTTATGTTCACTATTTATATATATATATATATATATATATATATATATAAGCAAATGTAAATGGATATAGATCCGACAGAATGAAGAAAAATTTGCTAAACGGAAAGCTGATCATTTTAAAAATTTTCAGTTATCTGTTTTGGATAAGACTTGTTTTTTATGTCCATCGTCTTTGTCAAATTGAACTGAATTGTATTTTAATGAATATTGTCTTGAAGAAGGTTTATTAAACCGAAACGTCAGACGTCGACATTTCATTCATTTTAAACAACATAATTGCATTTAAGGATTTTTGGTTTGTTTTTTCCAAATTTTTCTTCATATATATATATATATATATATATATATATATATATATATATATAAGTGCGCAGGTATGCAGAAATTCCTAAAAAATTCCTAAAATTTCCTTGAAGATGAAACGGGACTAAACACCTCAATTCAACTTAATTTTAATAATTATTTGGATGGTTTCGGCTCTCGTTTTTGAAACATGAGAACTCTTATGTAGCGAAGGAATCATATTTTTAAAAAAAAATATTTTATAAAATATATATATATATATATATATATTCAGATTATATATATTAATATAATCTATACAAATTAAAACAAAGTGAAAAAAAGATTAAGGATGAGTTAAAAACTATTACTCAGCAGTGAATAAAAAATCGAACAAACCAAATTTAAAAGAAACTAAAAAGATCTAACACGTCAACGATCCTCGCTCTTCGGAGCTCAACCGTGCTTTGAGGGGCACAGAGTTAAAAAGTGCTTTTGAGGAATATACTGAACCAACAGGCCTCGGTGACGAAGAAAAAAACTGACTAGACTCGATATAGCGCCGCTATTCACTAAATTCCGGTGGTCAGACTCATCCAAGTCTGCATAACACAACGGATAGGGTCCCAAGAGCCACGTCTTCTTTCCCCCAAGCCGCTCTCTTCAGAGCATTAGAAGCTCGATCAAGCTAGTATGTATAAGTGATAGAAATTTGCGGGGATTTGTATAATCATTTATAGTAGTTCATCGAGTCTCGAAGAATCGTCAACAGAATGCAGAAAGCACTTGACAGCCGTTTCGTCCTATTTTTGGATGACCAGAAGGAATTCCTCGATTCTTAAATCTAGGACCAAATTGCCATCTCCAGCCTAAATTTGACCTCACGAAAGAAATCGAAATCCTATATCAGTCATTATAAACTAGTAAATAAATACTTACTAAAATAAAAAAAATAATCGATGATAAATCGAAAGAAATCGTTAATAAGATACAGTAAAATAATTAATTTGCTATGTAGAATATAGCCGTGGGAGGCGTTAGTCAGCCCTGGGGTCATTGATTAAGAGGACATTTTTTATTTTTGAGGTTTCCACTTTTGATTATTGGTGCAACAATGTAAAATAGAAATACGAAATGCTCAAATTAAGAGGATGTTGAATACATGACACCATTTCGTCTGTCCCATGACTGGGTGTGGTCGTACGGCCGCAGCCCAGCTAAAAAATTGACCACTTCTCTCTACATATCCGGGATGAAAGTTGGAGAGTCATTCATTTATTTGTAGCATGTCTTCAGAAAGTAGACTTGGCTGAATCAATCGCAATGTCTATTTTTTCACTTGCACCATTTTTACCGCTGCTATTAATACCTGGACTATTATGACCTAAATTCGTGTTGTGTCACAGGTGGAGCTCATATTAAGCATTTGTGAAGCTTTGTGAATTCGGTTATAAAATCTATATTCCTTTGAATATCATGTTCGAAATCTTTTATTATTTAACATGAAGCTTCTTTAATTTCTTTTATCTGGGATATATAGCTACTCAGATATTCACATTTTAAATGATGCTAATTTTGGCGGAACATCCCGTACTCAATGGAAATTAATAGAAACTTCATTTTATGAATTTAGTAGCACTAAGCGACTCGCTTAAGTTTTTCGTAAAGAATTCATTAAATGAGACAGATGTGTGTTCATCCAATTGGCACGTACTCAAACATCCATAACTATTTACATTGTCCGGACTATTATCCTCATCTTTATTGCCATAATCTCGACGTTTCGGTCGTTGTACGCTCCGGCCTTCTTCAGGTGATATACGTTAGAACATCGAACTGAAAACGTTATTTAGTCCACAGGGTTAGTTTGTTCTAGTTCCACGGACCGTGTCTTTTTGGGGCATCTCAGTTTCAATTATTTCCCTTCAGTAAATCAACTTTTGTTTTTGTTCACCTCTGCTGTGGCCAGGGATTAAAATCAAAACTGTTTGGGTCAAGTCAATGGTTTATTCAACCAACGCTTTTATCCACTGGGCCATGTTTCAATAGTTGCAATATCTCATTTCAGAAATATAGATAGATCCATAACGATCTCAGTGAGAATCGAACGCAGGACAGTAGAAATAATTTCCGAAATTATATTGTTTGCTATTGCGTCATATTTCTGTTTTGTCTGGTTGTTAATTATTTGTTCACATACCCTGGGAGATCATTGGTGATGACATGTCGAGTGAAATTTATCATCTCCAAGACAAAGGCAACTAAATTAATACAGCCATCCGAGGCAAAAGTTTCGTTTGCTTGACACATTTCAAGAACATCTGATTTAACAATGACAAAATCCTTATCTGCGTTGTCCAAAAAGAAGAAGAAAAAAAAATAGCATCATGAAAAGCAGGTAAAACAAGCCAGGATCAAATCCAGCAGCCGTCATTCGACCTAAAACAGTGGTATCGATATGATTGCGTCAGACCTTTTTAATTAGCAGTTATATTAGACAATTAGTTGAGTGAAACTCGAATTTTATTTCAAGTCTATATTACATTATCTAATTTATCACACACACACACACACACACATATATATATATATATATATATATATATAGAGAGAGAGAGAGAGAGAGAGAGACAGACAGACAGACAGACAGACAGAGAGAGAGAGAGATGGCACTTCGGTCATAAATTTAGGAATTCCTTCTGGTCATCTGTGAGTTTATGACCGGATAGATTTATATTTTATATATTTATCAATATTGCTGGGAAGTATAATATTTCCTTCATTTGTATTAATTATATATATATATATATATATATATATATATATATATATATATATATATATATATATTATGAAATGGACAAAGTTCGACAATTATTTTAAGACATTTTATGTTTATTCATCCTTTTTTTTTTTAATAGATACAAATATGTAAGTAAATGCTCTGCTTATAATAAAGGTTCGATTCCTGTCGGAGGACACATGTTTTCTATGACAATTTCTCCCATATTCAGGCCAGTAAATGTTGTTAATACTGTTTATTATAAACAGAGCATTTACTTAAATATTTGTATATATAAAAAAGAATGCATAAATATAAAAATGTCTTTATATATATATATATATATATATATATATATATATATATATATATATATATATATATATATATATATATATATATATATATATATAGGTCCATAAAGGTCGTGTGCACTTTAAAACAATTATAACTTTATTTGTATTAGCGATAGAAATAATCTGTAAAAAATGTTATAAAGTTTAATGTATCTAGTTTTAAGTATAGCTAAAATAACTAATGTGTTTTCAGGCATTACCCTAAATCAATTGGCAAATGTTTTCCGTGAACTGCAAAATCGTATTACTCTTTGTATTGCTAATGATGGAGGACATGTGGAAACTTAAATAAAATTTCAATAAAACCTTAAAAAATATAGATTTGCTTCTTTCTAAACTTTTTTTACAAATTATTTCTATCGCAAATATAAATAAAGTTTAAAATTTTTTTCAAGTGCATACGAACTTTATGGACACAGTATATATATATATATATATATATATATATATATATATATATATATATATATATATATGCAAATACATATACATACTTACCACTCGACAGGTGCCCTTGCAGCTTATATGACGTGGATTCGGAAGCCATTTTAGCATTCCGGTACACGTTAATTTCATTGTACGATCTTTATTCTCGAAAATCGTTCCATTCATATGCGGCAAGGCAGGTTGGTAGGCCTGACTGTTGCAAGTCACTTCGCACGTCGATCCTAGTGGACAGAAAAATAAAACATCAGTACAAGCGTTTCAATTTAATGCAACATCAATCATTATTATTAAAATACTGCTGCCTTTCATTGCATATACAACATTATGTACGATGATTCTTAGGTGATTCATATTTTTAACATTTGTCATCTTTCATAGAATTTCGAAATTCTCGCGGTGAGACGTTAATAGTTGGTATATGTAACTATCTTCATGCCTTTTAAGGGTTGAAAGATCGGTGGAGTCTGGATACTTTTTAAAATGTCTACCTTAAAAAGTTCGTCGAAATTACAGTCGTAATTACAATAAAATGTAATTTCATCACAAACGACTGTAATTTGATTAATTGCTCTTACTAATTAATCAACTGACGGAAATGTTTAAGATGATCCCCATCATGTACACTCGTTTGAGTTGCATTCGATTCACGCTGTTTGCATTTCATTCGCTTTATCGCTTTTTGTAAGACAAGCGACGTTTGTACAAAGACTTTTCAAAAATATTTTTGTACCTGTATGCAATTTTTTTAACATAACTTGAAGACAGAAATACTGTTGTAAAATTGCTAAAAATGTTAGACCCTATCTTTCCTTTTTCTTTTATTTTCTTAAATCGCGCTCTTCTTTAAGTGTTGCAAAATATTGGAGGTTTTACGTCAATTATTTTTTTTAACAAAATTCATCAAAATAATAATAACAATAAGAAGAAGATTAACAAAAACAACCTCAACTATAACAACAATAATAAATCACTCATACAAATTTTATGCGCATTAAGACTCGATAATAAATACAAAACAATTAAAAATCATATCAATATATATATATGAATGAAGTAAATTATCTCAAGATATATAAAGTTAGGCATAAGTGGGAAGGAATGGTGATCCATTGGGAACTATTCAAACTAGATGACAATGTAATTTGATGATATTCATTTCAAAAGAAATACCGATGGGATTTAAAAAAAGACATGTTAATATTCGGGTTTCCTATCATGTAAGATCCTAGGTTGTGGTTAAAGAGTGGAATACGATATCATTAAATGACATCCTTCGAGTGGTGAGATCGATATGAGATGGAAATGTTAAGAAATGATCAACGCAAAACGGTTAAAGAAACTGTTACTTGAGTTTATATATTTGGGAAATTTGTCTTTGGTCTTGAAAGCAGCGTTGCATTAGACAATAAAAAGCTCATTATCCAAGATTGTGCCGTTTTGGAGCCAAAGAAACATTCATATTAACAAGCCCTTAGGAAAGGCATCAATCCAAATCTGTTCTAACCGAGTTAAATAGTAGGCTAGAGTGAGCTCACTACCTTCCACTGGTAGCCGGTCGCTCATATCCGAGTATGTCTGTTTATTAGGGCGACTAGCCGGTCGCTCATATCCGAGTATGTCTGTTTATTAGGGCGACTAGCCAATCCCTGTTACAGAGACCACCTGCGGTTTATATGCTGAACGGATTTAGTTATAGTTTTGGAGAGGGAGTGCATTATCTGGCGTGATTAATAGTCTGAGCAAGGCAAGTACGCTGAAAACCTCGGTCACGATGACTTGCAAAGCAATGCTAACACAACCATCGATGGCTCCTCAAAGAGTTCCGTCCACCCAATTTGGGTCAATCCGTGGAATGTTTTTCAGGCACTTTCCAAAGTTACTTTTTCTTCTCTATCTTTCACACACACACACGCACACACATACATATACATACACGCACACATATAAACATACACTTATGAACACACCCACACACATAAATGTTCTAGCATATTCTTTCTTATCCTTTTTTCAAGTAAATCTTTTTCTAGACTCCTGTTGGTTTCATTTATAATCAATTCTTTAGTCGACATTATCTTGTTAGTTTCAAATCATGAACTAACTTACAGCAGACTCAACGTCTCAGCAACTATCGTGTAGAGAAAGTTGGCGAACAGACCGGTCGAAACGTTTTGAAAATAAAAATATAGAGAAAAGAAAATCGATAAAAGTTAAATAATTATTGGTAGTTGAAAAAGTATAGAAATCTGTCCGAAAACAATTTGTTTCTTCCCAGAAACATTTCATGACGAGGAATATTAGCCAAGAATTCCAGTTAGAAACTTGTTATTCATTTTGTCGACATTGCTGCCAATATCAAAATTGGTTAATCTGGAAGCAGAACAAGTAACGTAATTATTCTGACTTCTTGTAGATTTCCATTTCTTTTTCCGATCACATAATCGATTTCAAGGGATTTCCATGAACAGGAAATCACTCTTATTAATCCGCGCAGTAATCATCACTAATTATACCCAATTATTATTATTATTATTATTACATTTTGATCCTGCTTATTTTTGATTCGCACAAGCTCCAAGTTTCAACCTGAAACTTCAGGAGACTGCAAATCGACAGATGATAATTGTTGTTGGTTGGAGATATAGTTGACATTTTCTGAATTGCATGATGTCACAGGGTTGTGTATAGAAGCTTTCATTAAAATGTGTCATGTTTATTCACAGACGATATTTATGTACCGTTAATATGCATAAATAGTTTCAATGGAGTGTCTGAAAAACTAAAATTATATCACAGATGTAAAATCCGGTAAACTTACAGAAGAACGTTCAAATAGAAAAAGGAAACCATAGCAAAATGCGTCGGATTCTGTGACGATATGATAATGTGAAAACAAACTCCAGAAGCATCGGTTCATAACCCGTCAGATTGAAAAAAAAACTTTCCCAAGGATCTGGGAAGTACCCAGAAGTCAAATCTTTTTACATTTCAGCTAAACTTGTCTCTCCAAGAAATTAAGAAACATAATTTGTTTATATATTTTCTATGGTTCCCAACGTACTACTAATAATTGGAATTAATTCTTAGATGCTATTATTATTATTATTATTATTATTATTATTATTATTATTATTATTATTATTCTTTCCTTTTTCTTCTTCATCTTCTTCTTCCTATTATTATTATTATTATATTGCATCAGAACTTACTTCTTTGCTGTGATCTTTAACATTGACACGGTCATAAGAAATAAAGACGCACCCCCGTTCACGATGGATCTAACTTCTTTGTTATGTTTACATAGGGTTTCATTACAAACATTATTCAAATATCAGAATTCATATAGAAAATATTGGGAAGATAGTTTTAAAAAAAGTGTGTAAAACTATGAACGACGCGTTTCTCCAAGAACGTCCGCTGCTTTCGACCTCTCCATATTTGCTGATAACAAATATAATTTAGCCTGGCGCCATCATATGTGGATATGTGGAATATATATATATATATATATATATATATATATATCAAATTTAATGATGATAAAGTGTATGAGAAGGAAGATATTATAGCGGACTTGCATGATCAAATTATGACAACGGGGACATAAGTGATTGACCTCTTCTCTCTCCCTTCCAAACGGTATATGTGACTACAGGCGATGCAATGTAACGCGCAAAGAAAGGTAAGGCGTGTAGTAAGTGACCAGAATCTGCAAGTGTGGACTGCTGTTGAAGTTGTTGCCTTCAACTTTGACTATATAGTAAAATAGACATTCACATTTGATGCCTTGAGATAATATAACAAAATAAGAGAATCTTTACATTAAAAGATTTTAGTAAACATCCAGGGAAAAACTACTTTCCCATGGACGAAATGATCATCCGTATGACATAATCCGTTTGTATGTCATTAATTGATATTCAGAGAGATATGCTGTATAATAAAAATTATGTTGAGCTCTCTTTTGTGGATCAGTTTTAATATTTTATATTAATAGGATCTACTTGGATTACTTTGATTTTGCACACACACAGACATATATATATATATATATATATATATATATATATATATATATGTGTGTGTGTGTGTGTGTGTGTGTGTGTGTGCGTGTGCATGTTGCCCATATACAGGATGCGATGGATAAATTGTCGTCTAAATGACGCAAAAATGAAAATAACTCTGATGGTAGCATATATATATATATATATGGTAGCATATATATATATATATATATATAGAGAGAGAGAGAGAGAGAGAGAGAGAGTGTGTGTGGGGCGTGTTTTTTGATATTGTGGGGCGTATTCAGAGGCCTGGTTTGTTGGCTTACATATAAATGCAGGGTGCGAGGGGTAAACTGTTGCCATTTTATATTTTTCATTTCGCGTATTCACGTTTTTTGTTTTTGATTTTGTCGACTGCACAGGTCAGTTGGGCACCATCTGTGAGAAAAAGCATACCATAGCGCAATTCCCTCAACTAAAAATTTGGAAAAGGCATGCTGTACTGATTCGCATTCGCCCCAGAAGCTCCAATACGAGCATTTCAGAGTGATTGGGAGTCAACCCGGGGAGAGTTCAGAGGATTCGGAAAGAATAGGATAAGTCTAATAGCGATTACGAAGATACGTCATCTCGGAAAACTCACTCTGATCGTTCTGGCAAGAAAAGAACTCCCATTTTTTTTCTTTTTGGGTGAGGACTCAGACTCAACAAAGAGACCTACTTCAAGTGTGTTGAGAAGGTAGTGCTACCCTGGGTCAAGAGGGTGGCTGCTAGAAGACACTCTATCTAGCAACTGGACTCTGCACCATGCCACACAAGCAGGAAAACCCAGTCATGGCTCTCAGACAATTTCTGCGACTACATCACCACTTACATGTGGTCAGCTACCCTCCACTCCAGACTGCAATCCCCTTGATTATAATGTGCGGGGCGTAGTTGAGCGAGAGACTGACAAAACTCCATGTAACACCAAAGATGAATTGAAAGAATATGGTAGCATTCATCAACTTAAACAAGGAGATCGTCCAGAAGAGTTGCAGTGGATTCTGAAGTCGTTTGGATGCGGTAGATAAAGCTAATGGCGATTTTATAGAATAAGTTTACTCTTTAGTATTTAGTATATTTTGGTGTAATTTTGATAAATATATCTATTAAAATGAGACGTCACTCACTCAGTGTTATTTTCATTTTTGCGTCATTTAGACGACAATTTATCCATCGCATCCTGTATATGGGCAACATGCACACACGCACATACCAATAATACATGTACAAATACGCACACATATACATATATTAGAATCGTTGAAGTTTGAAGATGTTTTAATCAGTCGACTCCAGTGAGCACGTATATGCATACATGTATGCACAAGTATAAATAATTTAAAAAAGTCCTCTAGTATATGTATATATATATAATTTAAGAATGTATATATGCATGTTTTGTGTGTATATATATATATATATATATATATATATATATATATATATATATATATATATATGAGTATGTGTGTATGTGTATATAGGTATATATGGGTAAACAAAAATAATAAAAAGTCCCTGAATTAAAAACTTACTATACCAACGTCTCCAAATTCTGATATGGATAAAACGAAAAATACAGATTTTCTTCAAGTCTCAAGATAGGAATAAATAAGTTAGAGTAATTAATGTGATTTATGACACCCAACTTATACTCCAAGATCCGAGGACACTCTCCTAACACATATTTTTGTCTTTCTTTTAATCAAACTGATGATGCCAAAGAGAACATAAACTTTCTCCGGCGAAACGCGCCTTTGATAAACAATGTTCCACTTTGTCTCATCGTTTAATTTTGTTTCGGATATACTATTATATATCCTATAAACACATTATTATGTATAGGCTCTTCCATTAACTTGGACCGATTTTAAATGTGAAATTGCCAAATACTTAAGTTGTTAAATCTGAAAGAAATAGAAAAAAATCATTAGAAGCTTAAACTTAATTCACATTTAAAATCGGTTCAAGTTATTGGACATCACTTAATTCACTGTCTTCCTCAACCTACTTCAGAGGTGTTTTATGTCATCTGACACAATTATAAAAATAAGAAAATTAGTGAAATTAGACTTATACATTATCTAATTACTGAAATAAGACAACCATTCATTTCAGATAAACAAGAAGGGGCACCTCGACGTGGTGTACTGGTTAATAAGCTTGTCTTTCTAGAACACTTGAGAAAAATCTCGCGACTGAGAAATGAAATCGATCCTCATTGGTGGTCCCATACCTTCGTGCTACATCAAAGTTATGCTTAGAAAATCACCATCAAAAAAGAAGACCAGTCATGTCACACGTCCCGTAAGCTATGGCGGTTTTAGGGGCTTCACATGTACAGCAGCCGTAGAGTGTCTAAAGCAAGATAACGTAATGGGGCCCCTTCGCCTAGATTCTCAAGGGTGCCGCCCGGTCAGTCCTGCGAATTGCCCCAGGTTGTGTATGTGTGGAAGGCAATGAATTTATACCTTTACAAAGTTATCATAACAAACGCCGACTTTCTTTACGAGATGCCAAAGCGTTACACTACCATAATAAAATGCCGAAGAGCCATTCAAAGTAGATGTTTACTAAATGAGGTTCTATAGACTTAGGAGGTGGGAGTAAGTGCAGATTATGAGAATATGCTGTATTGGTAATTGTTGACGATAGACTTGAAGAGGTTAATATCGTAGTGTCGGGGAAGCATCCTCTCAGGAGTTTGTTCCATAAAGTAGCAGTTCTTGGAGAATAAACTGTCCAAATTGAGCAATCATTCTTACCAATGGAATACGAAGAGGATGAGGCGATACCGTGTATATGATATGGTGGGGGCATTAAAGTTCTGAACTGGTGGAACGAGGGAATTTGGCTCGGCAGAACATTTTCCATGGAAATAGCGATAGAATAGCAAAAGGCATGCAGCATTGAATCTATATGAGAAGGATAGAAAATAATCCATCACCTACAAGGCCGGGGAAACGCTTTTGGTCAAGTCTGGAAAGAATGTGTGGGACAGCTCCAGCCTAGATATGACATCACTATTACATTTTGCGCTCTTGTAACTGACTCTTGTATTGACAGAACATGGATTCAGGTCATTTCTGGAGCCGACCATTTTTTCCATCGTCTTTAGCGTATATATATATATATATATATATATATATATATATATATATATATATATATATATATGAGATCCACTTGATGCCAGAGTAATTTTTGAATGCCAAAAGACAATCAAAACAAGGAGCCTCATTGAGAGTGTAACCATTCATCAAGTGAGAATGTCGGGTTTGCTTGGAAATGATGAAAAGTTACTAGTTCTAAAATTAAATATTATAAAGAAAATTTAATTAATTAAATTAAATTCATTTCGTTTTTTGCTTTGAGAAAGTCCACATTGGACGAAACGCGCCAGCAATAACAACAGTTTTCCTATTGTCATTTATATTTATAAATTATTATATTTCTAATTATCATTCATTACATGATTATACATTATAATTAATTATTATATAATTATGAAATGAAAAGTTATATCATACGTGGTATCATATAGAAATAAAAACAATAATTTATATGATCTATTCTGATAATTCAGTAGAAAGGAAGAAGGCTTATAAACTGAAAAATAATGGTAAAAATAACAAAAATGTTAACAATCAATGAATAAATTACTATCGTTAAATGATATTTATAATAAAGAAAATACAGGAATAAGTCTACCATGCATCGAATATTGCTGCTAAATTCTGGTGTTCTTACTTTTTATCTAGAGATTCTTGACAAAATCCAAAGAAGAAACAGCAACTCGGTTTCAGTCAATTCCTTTTTGGTTCCTTGACTTCAAGAATTTAAACGCAGTCTTAGATTAGGCCGCATAATTTCACTGATGAAATTGCTAAATGTAACCGTAAGTCCTATGTTAATAATTTCTTCCTTCCCAGTTTTCTATTGTGGGATCTCTTTGGGCTTTCAACTTCAAAAATTCAAATGTCACATCAATGTCAATCATCATTTTCATTGAATCCTGTTCCTTTATTGCCTTCTTTGTTTCTTTCTCTCTCTGTAAGTCATTGCATCTTAGTGGCTTTATAACCTTGCTTGGGGTAAAAAGATTAAAAAAAAGATTTAAAAAAGTATCTATTTTTCTAGAACACATTTTCTCTGGTCAAAATATTAGTGCTGAAAACTTCGAAATAATTATGAAACAAATAAATAAAAATAAATTAATAGAATGTATTCAATCACTTACCAGCAGATCGATTATAGCAATTTCGAATTTGTACCCGATCGTCGATCAACAGTGGTGAGGGACACATTGCAGATTTTGGAAAACTGCACATTTTGAATTGAGAGCTCCAAATACCCTTTTGAAGGCACTTGATTTTCTGGATCTGGAAAGATAATGATCGATATTATCAATTCAGCATCTATCAATCGGATGTTTTAATTATCCTATTGTAGCCATGAAATATTACATTCGTTCGAAAACACTTAGCACGACTGTGAAACTATGCATACAACACCCAAGTGGAAGAGTAATGTGTAATTTTATCTCAAGAGATTTTGTTTTATAGCCGGAGGATTTTTTTTAAACCGTGTCTTCTAAGCATCATCCATTTGACTGAAGGGGAACAGAAAAGTAAATGAGTAGATGAGAGCTTTTCAAACCAAGTGACAAAATCTCCGCATACATAGTATATCTAGTTGCTGGTCAAAATTAACAGTCTTTGTTGGGACCGAAGACAACCTGTTCTTGCCCGCGCCTGACGAGAGAGTCATTTGCATAGTTCCGAAGATGCCTGTTTGTATTTCCAGCCAAACTTTATTCATCTTATTTATTTTGTTTTATTTTGAGGAAAGCGAAAGCAATCATGATCAAAGTTTTCGCACAACGTATCGACTAATTGTATTTTCTTTTTATTTTGTACTATATGACTTGATATAGATGGTCGTAAGTTCGGAGTCGATAATCAGTTAAGTCGTTAAGTGAGGAGTTGTTGTAACAGAAAACCTGCAGGAACTATATGCACTGAAATTCCGAAAAGCGTGGTACTTTCTATTCCTGGGTTAAGAATTATTTTTCCATATTGTAAGTGGTCATGATTTCATAGCTTCTAGTCAGCGTGGACAGTCAGTGGAGACATCATTGACTTGATTATTTCAAATATTTTCCTGAAGAATATCTTCTAAAACGGATATCCCGTGATCCACAAGCAGGACTATTTTAATATCTTCAAAAACGGATATCCCGTGATCCACAAGCAGGACTATTTTAATATCTTCAAAAACGGATATCCCGTGATCCACAAGCAGGACTATGTTAATATCTTCAAAAACGGATATCCCGTGATCCACAAGCAGGACTATTTTAATATCTTCAAAAACGGATATCCCGTGATCCACAAGCAGGACTATTTTAATATCTTTTAAAACGGATATCCCGTGATCCACAAGCAGGACTATGTTAATAATTTACCATAACAATCTGTACAAGAAGCCGATTTTTAACATCGCTTTTTTAAGAATTTTGAATTTTTGAATCAACAACATAAACTTTTGCATTCTATGTCTGCTTTTCACGCAGAAGTAAACTTTTCAAAATTTGAACATGCTCTTGTCAATATATAATTGCCACTCACGATGCTATTTCCACCAAATATGGCATAAGATTCCAATTTTAAGCGTCAGCCTGGCATCTCTTCAGTCAATTTCCAACGGGAGTAACATAACTTCGCTGTGACTCTGCTATAAATATTTTTATAATAATTATCTTTAGTTCTCTTTTTGTCTCTTGAATTCACGAATTTAAGCGCGGTACCAGATTGGCAGTTAGGTATTATTAGTTTACTTCTGAAATTTTTAGTTGTAAGTTCTATGCTAATATTTTCTTCTCTTTTATTTCTTGCTTGTGGAATTTTCTTCCGGCTTTCTGCTAAGATCTTCAGAAATGTCATTCGTAAACTTGGTCCACTTAAAACCTGCTCTTTTATTGTCCTTCCTATTCCATTCACTCTCAATAACCATTTGCATCGTAGGGGGATTTATTGCCTTGCTTGGTATGAATTGATTACAAATAAGACGAGAAAAACTATTAGTCCTTCACAAAAACATCAAAGAGCAATTTTCCCTCGTCTAGTCACTTCTTAGACATCAATAGTGGCCGGTATGGCACCATCCCATGATAGTCAAAGAAATAAAAAAAATGAAAGTCTTGATAACAGCGACACACCCACACTTTGGGGATTTCTAAAGCTTAACGCTAGATTATATGAAGATTAGAAAGATTTTCTTACATCAAACACTCAAAATAAGAGTTCATGTCTGTTTTAATTACTGACATTTTCTTTGTTCAGAATGATTGTATCGAAACAGATTTATGGCTGTTTTTTTCCGCTCGGGATTTTTTTTCCAGAAAATCTTTGGTAATTTACATGAATATGAAACATTCGATAAAAAAATAAAAGTTCACTAGACTTGTCTGACTGACTGCTTATCATAAGTTTTAAATTTCCAATCTTTATTTCTTAAGAATCTTTCGTTAAAACCGACATTGCAATCTAAAATACAAACAATATTAAGAGTAAATAAATAAATAAAAGAAAAGAAAAAAAAAAGAAAAGAAAAGAAAAGAAAGAAAGAATCAAAATTTTGTTAATACTGAAACTGATTTATTAGGGAAGAAGGCAAAGTTCTTTGACTCCGAGTACAAAACGGAAAAGAATGAAAGTCAATAAAAAGAAAGAATAAAAAAGAATCAAATTTAAAAATGTCATTATAATCGGAAATACAGAAAATATTAACTCTAATTAAAGAAAAAAAAATGAAGTCTCTTAACTGATAAGATAAAGAGAATGTCTATAAAAGGGAGAAAGAAAGATGTGAAGAAATGAAACCTTGAAATGGTTGGTACTGACCCTTGCTTCCCGTGGGCATTTTAAGGTACATCTACTGCCACCAAATTCTGATTCGGAACAGGTGTACATTCCTGTAAATTCGGGTGGGATTTTCTTGCATGTAACCCGTACACATTTATTTCCTTCCCATTGACCAGACTCTTTGCAGGTAAGATGAAGAGAACGTCTGCAAAAAGAGAGAGAGAGAGAGAGAGAGAGAGAGAAAGAGAGAGAAAGAGAGAAAGAGAGAAAGAGAGAGGTTAGTCAATATTGCGATTATTTATTTTTACGAATATAACAACACTTCATCGATATTTGTCTACGAATCTAAGTCAGTTCTTATCTACCTATCTAATGCATGAATAATTGACTTTATTCTTTCTTTAATTGTTTATCGGTTTGTTCATATCTATCTATCTATCTCGGTTTGTTCTTATTTATCCATTTATCTATCTATATAATTTTGTTCATATCTCTCTCGCATTCTCTATCAATCTATATTTGTTCCTATCTATCTATCTATCGATCTATCTATCTCTCTCTCTATATATATATATATATATATATATATATATATATATATATATATATAAATATATATATATTAAAATAATAAGAAAGAACAGTAAGATTTATAATCCGGTGTTCTTAGAAATTATAGATCTTCTACTCAAATATGAGTAGCAATTAAAAATAATGTTTAAACACAATAAATGTGGAATTAATAATATATATATATTATGTAAACACATTTTTATTTTCCTTCGTCCCATCCCTCTCCCCCAACCTTTCCCTTTCTTTTTTTTTTTTTTTTTTTTTTCCCCTTCCTATCCGAATTGTCTGTGGTGTGTATATGTCACCACGAAATGTATCTTTTATGTATTAGACATCCGTCGACTTTCTTTTCTCCTCTTTTTTAAATCCACCCCACCTACATCTCCAAAAATTCTCTCTGTCACTCATCCTCATACTTACACTTTCTCTAAATTCTGTTTTGATTTCCGAAGTTGTTTTTTTCTGTTTTCATTTTGAATTTGTAGGTCTGATGATTTGGATCGTATTTACGATTCCAATGGAATAAATTATGACCATGGAATATTAGTGTTTAAGCCTTTTTTTTTATTATATATATATATATATATATATATATATATATATATATATATATATATATATATATATAAGTATAGGAATTGTGTATACGAAATAAATTCCAATAACCAACAAATACTATTCTTAAAAGAGTGCTCAATACAAAGTAGAGCAACTACAATTATTTATTCGAAAATTATAACATAAATATATTATAAAATCACTAGAAAAATAGCTATTTTGTTTCAACACTTCTGGTGTCTTATCAAGTGATAGTGTTGAATGTAGTATAATTCTACATTCAAAACCATCACTTGATAAGACACCAGAAGTCTTGAAACAAAATAGCTATTTTTATACATAATACCTTACATTAATTGCACATCTCCAAGTTTCATGCCGAAGCAAATGTCGAATTAAAAATAATTTCATCACTTAACAATTGCTTCGGCATGAAACTTGGTGCTATGCAATTAA